TTATCCCTATGTAATAAATACCTCAAGCAAAAAAAAAAAAAAAACTAACATAACACAATTAAATTCACAATCTTTAATAAAATCAATCAAATCTTGCTTATTTATGAAACTCATAAATTTATTGTCACTATCACTATTCAACCCAAAATGACACAATATAATTATAAATTTAATCCTTCACATATAAATATACACAGAAACAAATCCACGCACATTTCTTTTTTGGTTACTAACAAACCCACCTAATCAATAACTACTTTTCTTAAAAATACAATAATTTAAGTTTTTAAGATAAAATAATAATAAATAAATATTTAATTAAAACATAGGATAAAAATTTACGGGCATCCCCTAAATTTTGGTAATATTACACAAACACCTCCTGATATTTTATAAGTAACACAGAGACCCCCTGAGGTTTGAAATTCCTTGCATGGAGACTCCTTGTTTTACTTTCGTCAATATTGCTAGCAAAAATTGATAATTTTATCCTAAATTTTTTTATTATTTTTAAATTGCCCTTCTCTAAATTTAGTACCAAAAAAATTAAAAATTTAATAAAATGAAATAAAATTTGATTTAATACTCAAAAAATTGATTAAATAAATTTTAATATTAATTTGGTAACAATAAAAATTAATTTGATATTAATTAAATAAAGTTGAATATAAATTGGACAATAATAAATGTCAATTTTTGATAAAACTATATATTAATTTTCAATATAAAGTTCATTTTGTGTTTAATACTATCTAGTGTTTGTAGTCAATGTGTTATTTTTATTTTGTTAAGTAGTATTTACAATTTAAGAAATAAATGACAAAATATATGTCGTTAGATACATAAAAGCATTGAATTAGTTTCATAGAATAAATAATTGTATAAAATGTAATTTTATCTTTATAGAGTAAATAATAACCGAAAAACACAGGGCAAAGAAAAAAAGAGATAATAGTGTAAAAGAGAAAGTTATATGAGATATGAGACTCTTAGAGTTGTAATAGAAATGAAAATTCAATTAAGACTATCAGATCAAAATGTTCTGAGACTTGAAAAGCCTAAAACAAACAATCTAGCTACTTTATTATATAGATATAAATCTATATAATAAAGTAACTAAATTGTTTGTCTTGAGCTTTTCGTGGGTCAGATCATTTTGATCTGATGGTCCTAATTAGACTTTCATTTTTTATACAACTCTAAGACTCTCATTTCTTATATAACTCTCTCTCTATCTTTCTCTCATGGTATTATCTTTTTTTGTCCTATTTTTTTTGTTATTATTTAACCCCATAAATCAAATGAAACTACATGTTATGCAATTATTTATTTCATTACACTAATTCAATCTTTTTTATATATCTAACGGCATGCAAATAACACTTAATGTAAATAAAAAATAAACCCTAAATAATATTCAATTCCAAATAAACCTTACATTGTAAATTAATATATACTTTTATCAAAAATTAATATTTAATTTTGTTTAATTTATGTTCAACTTTTTCGAATTAATATCAAATTAATTTTTATTGTTATCAAATTAATATTGAAATTTATTTAATCAATTTTTTGGATTACTAAATTATATCAATTTTTTACTAAACCAAATTTTATTTGCTTTTATTAAATTTTTAATTTTTTTGTACTAAATTTGGAGAAGGACAATTGTAAGTAATTATTTTTTTTTGATGAAATTATCAATTTTCATTAGCAACATTGACGGAAGGGAAATAGAGAGGGTATCCGTGCAATAAATTTCAAATCTTAGGGGGTGTCTATGTTATTTATAAAATATCAGGAAATATCTGTGTAATATTGTCAAAACTCATGGGAGGCCCCTTGATTTTTACCCTTTTTTAATTAAACATTAATTTATTATTATTTTATCTAAAAAATTTGAATTATTATATTTCTAATAAAACAATTATTGATTATAAGAGTTTGTTGGTAATCAAAAAAGAAATGTGTGTTGGTGTGTTTTCGTATATATTTATATGCGAAAGATTGAACATTTGGTAATTAAATTTATAATTATATTATGTCATTTGGGGTTGAATGGTAATAGTGGTGATAAATTTATAAGTTTTATCAATGAGTAAGATTTGATTAATTTTATTTATTGTTTAAAAATTGTAAATTTAATATTGTGTTCTGTTAGTATTTTTCTTTTTTTTTTACTTGAGGTATTTATTACATGGGAATAGAGTGAATTAAAAATATGGTGGTTGGGTTTATAATTATGTTGTGTTATTGGATTGAGTGGTAGTAAATATGATAAATTCGTGAGTATTATAAATGAGTAAGATTTTTTTTATTATTTAAAGATTGTAAATTTTAATTGGTTATGTTAATATTTTTTTCCAAAGGCATTTGTATATGTGACATTGTTTTGGGGAGTTTTTATATATTTTTATGATAGTTCCATTAATATGGAGGATATGATTGATGATATATTTCAAGTAATTTTAAAAGAAAAATTGATATAAATATTTTTAGGTTATTCTTTTTGAATTTAGACAATTGTTTTAAATTTTGTTTGTTTATTGTATAGTGCCTTCAGGCACGAATAACGACTAGTAATTCTATATTATATATGGATATAGATAGATACGAGAGACCAAAAGAATTTTATTATTAGTCAAACTCATAAAATTTAAGAGTTGTTAGTTTTCAAATTTGTTTTAATTAAACATAACTATTAGTAGTATTTTGTACAATGAAGATTAAAATGGAGTTAATATTAAACAAGTTTTTTTGATGGACTTACCATCAAATAAGTGTACAAAAAGGGATTTGCCTCCAAATTTTCCTATAATTTATCATTGAGTGAAAGTGTAACAAAAAGGATGTACAATTGTTTTAAGAGATAATAAGATGTAAATACTTTTTTTAGAATTTATTTGGCTTTAAGTACCACCACTAAACTTATCTTCATTTAAGTCTTTTTTTTCATCAAATAGTTGTTCATAAGTACATATTTTAAAACATTTTCAAATTCTCTTTGAAATGTATTTCATAATTACCCCAACCATAAATAGTGCATACCTAATTGAAAGCTTTTATATTTCCAATATCTAAATATTAGATTGTGAGACTTTCAATATTCCTTTGATATTTGTGTATCATTTGAATTTTGAAATTTTAAATTTTAAATAATATATATATATATATATTAATTAAACATTAACACGTTCAAAAAAAAATAGTAACATCAAACGGTAACATACTTAATAAAAAATTTAATTAAAAATTTAATCATTACAATAGAGTGACATCATATGTGAGTATTTATTCTATTGTGGGAGTGTCACTCTATTATAATGATTAAATTTTTATTAAGCATGTTACTGTATATATATATACTAGTTATTGTCTGTGCCTGAAGGCACAGAGTAATCAAATTGATAAACAATAAATATATTTATATTTATATCTAAAATTAAATCACAAATATAGAGAATAAATAAAGGAATTTAAACTTTGTAGTGGAGGCGAGAAGTGTTGAGCGACAGTGGTGATGGTATAAGACAATGATGGTTATGGAGGGTGGTAATGACCGTGGCAGTGGTGATGGCGGCGGCGGGGATGGTGGTGGTGGTGGAGGCGACAACGATGGTGTTGGTGGTGGTGACGGCGATGGTGGTAGGGGTGATAGTGGTGGCGACGATAGTGGTGGTACAGGTGGTGGTGGGGCAATTTCAAATACTATTTTTTTAAAAAAATATTTATGAGAAATAATTTTTAGAAATATTTTTAAAAAGTCACTCCAAGCACACTCTTAGATACTTATTTTTTTTTATTAAATTTAGGGTGTTAATATTAGTCGTTAGATTAACTTTAAAGTAAAATTTAAAGTAATCTCAACCGCGAATAATAAAAGTCATTTTATTTATCTTTTGAGATTTCAATTGTAAGTTATTTTATTATATATATAAACATAATTTTAATATTAGCACAATTTTCAAGATATGAATTGTTAATCCTAATACAATTCCCAATTTTGAAGTTATTAATTTTTTTAAACAAGTTTTGAGTAAATATAACTATTGATGGTATTTTGGACAATGGAGATCAAAATGAATTTATCACCAAATAAATTTTTTAAATGTACTTAAACTCAAATAAGTTTACAAAAAAAAACCGGCCTCCATAAACCCCTTGTTTTAAAATTGTTGGGGTTGTTTTGGGGGTGGGGAAGATGGGGGGAGGGGGGGTTGAGAGATAGAGAATTGTTGTCATTGAAATTGACACTTATAATTTATTATTGGTGTTAGAGAACAACTAATGTCATTTGGATACTGTTAATGAAATAATAATAATGGATTGATAACTAAATAACAATAATGGGATTAAATCAGAAAATTTCAAAAGACAATTTTAATCAAGGTCGGATTCCCTCTCCAAGTTGAAAATTTTACCAATTTCATACATTTTCACACTAACTAAAGTCAAACAAAATAATATTTTTTCTCTTTATCTCTTTTTTCTCTCCCAATCTTTTTTAATGGTGATACAAAATTGATTTTGAATCGGGTAATTTTAAAAAAGAAAGAAAAAAATAAATTATTATTTTATATATTTATTACTCCACGTTCGATGTTTAATTTATTTGTGTATCTTTTATGCACGAGTTATTTCTAGTGGCCGTATATATAATAAGGGCACCTCCCGTATCCTTCCTCCAACCCCATTTAGCCGACCCGAATAATCTACGCTACCTAGTCGCGGAGATCTCTCTCTCTNTTCCTCCAACCCCATTTAGCCGACCCGAATAATCTACGCTACCTAGTCGCGGAGATCCCTCTCCNACCTCCCGTATCCTTCCTCCAACCCCATTTAGCCGACCCGAATAATCTACGCTACCTAGTCGCGGAGATCTCTCTCTCTCTCTCCCTCCATCCATTTATTTCTCGCTCATTCCTAAAGATGGCGTATCGCATAAATTCCCCTCTCCTCCGATGTAATACGCCGCTCTTCCCGGCCGTACATTACCACCGACAAACACTCAATCTTCTTCCTTACTCTCTCCACTCTACTAAGGTCTCGCAATCTCTCTCCAAGTTCGCTCTCTTTTCAGTGCTATCTCTATTTCTGTCAAAACTTTTATTGATATTGATTTTCACAGATTTCATACTCTACTAGTCGTCAGCGTAGTTCTATGGCTGTGAAGTCTGATGCGACGGTCGAAGATAGAATGCTGGTTAGTTCACTTTGAGAATAATAATACCAGTGTTCTAGGTGTTGGTTTTTAGTTTGTTTTAAGTTTTCCTCTGTTTTCTCGGTTACAAAGTAGAGCGTTGGTTTTGATTTCAGCTATTAACGATTTTATTGTAATGAGATTTTCAGGTGTTTGTTCCGCCGCATCCTTTAATCAAGCATTGGGTTTCGGTACTTAGAAATGAGCAGACTCCTTGCCCCATCTTTAGTAAGTGAAACTTTGTGTTACAATTTGGATTGTTTCATATTGTCAGAAAAATGTTGGTTAGTTTACCTGTTTTGGGACGCTTAAGTGAACTAGCAGTGTTTGATTACCTATTTGGTCCTATTTTCACTTAGTGGAAGTGAACTACTGCCTTTTGGTGATTGGATAAAGTAGCCCTGTAAACTCATGTTGGTTTGATCTTCGACTTGTAAACTCATGTTGGTTTGATCTTCGACTTTACTAGTGATCAAGTTGCACTGCTGCTTGTGATTGTTAGAAGAACTATAAATCTTTTTGTTTTTAATAGAATTTTATGTTTATTTTGTTGAGTTTGGCTGGATTTGGATAAATCCTCTGAAGAATTGATGTGTTACTTACATGCTCTCTCACTTAGGATTTTTATTTTTTCAGTTAGTGTCTATGGATCCCCATTTTTGGCTCACAGTTTTTTCCTTTTATTAAAGAATTTATATTTACGTGGTCATTATTGCTGTAGAGAATGCCATGGCTGAGTTGGGGAGGTTGCTTATGTATGAAGCATCAAGGGATTGCCTGGTGAGTTGCTACAGTATCATTGCTTATTCGTTGTTTGGTGCTCCTTCTTTCCAGGCTAACCATATTGGATATTTTTTGTTGACACCTGGCTATTTACTTCTAATTTAGTTGGTTTTTCCTTTGATGATGTTGTAGGCTTTACTTGCTTATCTACCTAAAGTGATACACTGGTTTATTTGATAATTGATATTGGGAAATATGGATGCCAAGACAGTTATCTAGGCAGCAGAGAATTTTGTACCTACTTGTAGTGTTTCCTGGACCTGTTCTATGTAGTTACCAATATTTTTGAGTTCTGACTATTTTTTCCACCACTGCCAGCCTACTGTCTCAGGGGAGATTCAGTCACCTATGGGTGTTGCCTCTGTAGAATTCGTCGATCCAAGGGAACCTGTGGCGGTTAGTATATTAATATGTTTTTTTTTACTATTCTTCCTGTTTGTCTTCTTGTTATGTGCATTCTTCGTTATAGATTTGAAATCTAATGACTGTACACTTGGTCAAGGGAGTTCCTTTGGGAAAACTGTTGACAGCTTTCTCTAACTTACATATTTGGTTTCATTTTGATTATAAAAACCATTGACAATGGCTGTACATAATTGATAGAAATTTTCTGAAGTGATCTTATTCTACCTTATGCTATCATGGAATAGTATTAGCTAGTATGTGTGGCCATCACTGATAGACTATTCGTTGAGCTTTTCAGATCGTTCCCATCTTGAGGGCTGGTCTTGCTCTTGCAGAACATGCATCATCAATGTTGCCAGCAACAAAAATGTATCATCTAGGTAGGGTATGTTTATCACACACTGTGAAAATGGAAGGTTTAGCTGAGCTATATGTATTTGTGTTCAAATGGTACATCAATGGAAAAGCATAGTCTGACTGTGAAAGCCAATGATTCTTATTTTCCTTTGCCAATCCAGGGGTTAGCAGAGATGAAAAAACACTTCAGCCAACTGTATACCTGAACAAGTAAGGATTCTTTGCTGTAGAAATTGGGGGGCATTTTTGTTCACTTTCCATGTTATGTGGCTCTCCATTGTACTCTAGCATTTGATTGCATCACTGTGCTATTCTTTTGAATCAATTGTGAACTAAGCAAAAATCCTTGTTCTCTACTTTATCTGCATCTGATCACCATTCTTGCTTCCTGATCTATATTGTTTGCATTCTCCGGCTGTCCTAGATCAAGTCTTTTGACAGTTTTGTTTGTTGTTCGCAGGTTACCTGACAAATTTCCTGAAGGTACTCTGGTATTTGTTGTCGATCCTATGTTAGCAACAGGTACTAATACTATTCCTAAATAGGGCCTTCCTTAGATTCATTTTCCTTATTTTCACAGATTGAGAAAATATTTTTGTTATGGTTACATCACAGCTTCTTCTTTTTCCACTATCTTTTCATTACTTTGCTGATATCAGTTCTTGGCCAAAATTTGTTTCAATATTATCAATCTCCCTACTTATTTCATGTAGTGCTCCTCTTTTTCTTATTTATTCACAAGTTGGCTGATTAAGATGCATTCCATTGTGAGCATAGTACTTTCTTTTCTTTATTTAAATTATGTTTCCCTTGTTTCCAACTTTTGTGTTTCCTCCTGCCCTTATAAAAGCTGCCTCCCTCTCCCCCCCTGACTCCATCCCCTTAATCAAATGGCACTGAACCCCAAAACCCAACCCATAACAGGAGCAGATTTGCCCATATTCTCAGGCCTCTCACGTGAGACACCTTCGAGAAATGAGACGGTTTTAAATGGAAGAGCCATATTGCAACAATGTTGAAGGTTTAGGGACGAAATTGACAGAAAGTAATTGCTTAGGGGCTTAATTTAAACAAGGGTCTAAGTTCAAGGGCCGCCATTGTATTTTGCTCCCTTTTTTTTTCCGGTAAATCTTGCGGCTTTTTTGTGTGACATATGCAGGCTGTATGAATAAAACAATAGTTTCACGTTGGCATTTGTGAATCTTACTTTGTTAAAATTATTTTGTTTTCTACAAATATTTTCAGGTGGCACAATTGTTGCTGCTCTTGACCTGATAAAGGAACGTGGGGTTGACAACAAGCAAATTAAAGTGGTAGGTAGATGAATTATCATTTTTAATGTCTCTGTTCTTAAGAGCGTATATATTTTCTTCTGTTGCCCGGGTATGTCTAGAGCTTGTAACATGCTGTTCAAAATGAGTTATCTCGATGCGCCATGAGACCTTCAACAAGCAGCCATCCAACCTTGCGTAAACAGGCTGTTGATTTCTTCTCAATGGTTCTTCTTGTAACTGAAAAGGATGTTTACTCACTTGTATCTTGTATGTGGAATCTTGCCTACTTGGTTTATATCTTCAATCAAAATTTTAATGTCATTACTTGCTTGTTATACCTTGCCCAGCTTGGGATCAAGCTTTTACTAAATTTCTAATAATTCTGAATGGGCAAAATGTTCTGCTGTTCAGTTACTTGCACATGAATGTTCAGATTATGATGGCTGTTTTTCGTAGTTCTTGTTCACAGTTGTGTGGTAGATTTACTGACTATACATGTCACAGGTGTCTGCTGTTGCCGCTCCTCCGGCCCTTCAAAAGCTCGGCGAAAAATTTCCTGGGTAATATAGCATATTATCATATCAGATTATGTCTGTCGATATTGTTGCATATTGTTCTTAATAATGTCTTTGTTATTTTCAGGCTTCATGTATATGCTGGAATAATTGACCCCACTGTTAATGACAGAGGGTAATTACTTCTACCATTAGCGTAAATTGTGCTTACAAAGTAGCAAACAGTAATATTAATGTTTTCCGCCAATTATATTCTTTGAGCATTTTTCAGGTTTATAATTCCTGGACTAGGAGATGCAGGAGACCGTAGCTTTGGCACATGAAGCCACAAAAAACTGTACATCCAGGCCAGTCATTTTTCCCAATTTTGAAATTTGAGCATATCATCAGCAAAATATTTACCGGCATTTTTTATGAGTTTTATGAGCTGTTTACTTCAAGTGTTTATTAGTCGTCGAGCAACTTATTATGGCTGTCCAAGTAGTTAAATGGATCAAACTTTATTTGAAGCCAAATCCTCTTTTTGACAAGTTGTGTCAAAGCCAATGCTTGTTTGGATTGCAATGTTGTGTCCTCTTTTTTCATCTTTTGATCTATTTTTGAAGTGCACCCAAAAACACTTCAAATCAAGAGTGTGAAATACATTTTGCGTGAGTAGGATCTCTTGCTTACAAGTGAGCCCCTCCTGCTTGTGTCTAAAATTTAAGTTTTTATTGCTCAATGTGGAAGCAAGACTTGGGTGTCTTTTCTTCTTTGGAAGGGGAATTGGAACTTGAGTCGATCTGTTAGTTACATTTAGGGCCTGTTTGGAATTTTGGGTTTTAGAGGTTGAGTTTTATGACAATAGTATAATGTACTTTCTAAAGTCATGTTTAGTTTAAGATTTGAGGTCCGTGATTTGAATTTTGGTCCCTTAGCAGCAATAGATTAAAACTCACAAATGGGTGTTTGATGAAATTCATGAGGGATATGTTTCAAAAGTGAGAGATTTGACTTTGTAGATAGAAAGATTGTTTTACCCAAAATTTTATCATCCTATTCACTTAATAATGGATATTTTAGTCAATTGAGTAATAAAAAATAATAACTCTTGTACATGATTTCACACGAATTCATGGATCTTAACTATATTTAATCACTTACCATCGAATATGGGATTGGATAAGATAATTGTTTCATCCCATGTACAAAACCTTGTGCTAGGGTTGATAAACGCAATCTAATCCCTTTTGTAAAGACCAGAGTCCATTCAAGCATCTTGAATCCTTATTTTTTTTAAACTTCAATTTAAATTCGAGCGGGCTATCCCACATCAGATAGTCTTTGGGTGTGTGAGAGTTATAAGGACTTGTGACANTTGTGCTAGGGTTGATAAACGCAATCTAATCCCTTTTGTAAAGACCAGAGTCCATTCGAGCATCTTGAATCCCTATATTTTTTAAACTTCAATTTAAATTCGAGCGGGGCTATCCCACATCGGATAGTCTTTGGGTGTGCGAGAGTTATAAGGACTTGTGACACTTTTTCTTTCAAGTAGAAGTGTTGTAGTGTTCTTTGGTCCAAAAAAACAATATCAGCATGTGTGCGTTCTGGGGTGGGTCCCATGTGGGCTCAACTGCATCCCTCTGAGGCCTGACTAAGATCGGGGAGGCCTTTGGGCCTAAGTGGTGATGAGCTTGGGTTACCCGACATCGGATAGCCTTTGAGTGTGTGTGTGAATTATAAGTACCTATGACACTTCTGCTTTTAAGTAGAAGTGTTGTAGTGTTCTCNTGTAGTGTTCTTTGGTCCAAAAAAACAATATCAGCATGTGTGCGTTCTGGGGTGGGTTCCATGTGGGCTCAACTGCATCCCTATGAAGCCTGACTAAGATCACTAAGATCGGGGAGGCCTTTGGGCCTAGGTGGTGATGAGCTTGGGTTACACGACATCGGATAGCCTTTGAGTGTGTGTGTGTGAATTATAAGTACCTATGACACTTCTGCTTTTAAGTAGAAGTGTTGTAGTGTTCTTTGGTCAAAAAAAAAATTTAAAATTTGAGTAAAAAATTTTAAAAAACTTTATCCAATACTTGACCCATACTTGTATGAAATCAATGGAGATTTATTTTTTTACTCAAATGTAGGAAGATTTCAATATTTAATAGTGAGATTTCATCATCTTTTAAAGATTTAATGATCATATTTTACCTTCATTTAAATTTGGATTTTTCTTCTTTTAAATTTGAGTTTCTCTATTGGAGAGGTCTATCATAAATTAATTTTTTAATATTTTTTTTACTCAAATTTAAATAAGAGTTTGAGTGAGATTCGTGGTTCTAGGAGTAGGAAAACCCATCAAGANTTTTTCTTCTTTTAAATTTGAGTTTCTCTATTGGAGAGGTCTATCATAAATTAATTTTTTAATATTTTTTTACTCAAATTTAAATAAGAGTTTGAGTGAGATTCGCGGTTCTAGGAGTTGGAAAACCCATCAAGNCTTTTAAAGATTTAATGATCATATTTTACCTTCATTTAAATTTGGATTTTTCTTCTTTTAAATTTGAGTTTCTCTATTGGAGAGGTCTATCATAAATTAATTTTTTAATATTTTTTTTACTCAAATTTAAATAAGAGTTTGAGTGAGATTCGTGGTTCTAGGAGTAGGAAAACCCATCAAGAAAAAAAAAATGAAAGAGTTATAAGATTCAAAATAGTTTGATAATTCTACTTCTATGTAGGCTGATTTAGAGGGAGGGTGCAGTGCATAATGCTTCTCCATTGAGTATCATGGTTAAAAGACTAGACAAAAACTCTAATGTATCTTTGTCACTATATTTTTCCGTAGAAAAAACGAAAAAAAATAAAATCTTGCCTATTCTATTCGTATGATCACCAAGATTCTTCCTTGAAAAGAACAAGGAGAAGAATGGGACAAAGCTCTTTTATTGTGTCCTCTAAAAGCTTCCACCTTTAATCTTCTTAGCCACCTCGGCCACAAGCATCTTCGGCTCCGCCATGAATACTACCATAAGCGCCGCTAGTTTGAGCAGTCCTACCACCTTCGCAGACACGTCCAGCTCCACTATTATGTCCACCGTTGCCACCTGCACAGGAGGCACTGGTTGTTGGACGCATAACGCTACTACTGTTGATACCACCCACACCTACGGCACTGCCACTGCGGCTTCCACCACCACCACCACCACGGACGATGACACGCATTCTATGGCGAAAACCGTCACTGCCCACAATGCTTTCGAGGCTTCTGGTTTTGTTTTCCGTTATTTTGAGGCAGTTGTACATAACAAACCACATGATTAACACTCCAGAAATGACGAACAACAGGTATATGAGAAGTATTTCCATCTCTCTCTCTCTCTCTCTCTCAATACCATTTTATNAAGGCTTCTGGTTTTGTTTTCCGTTATTTTGAGGCAGTTGTACATAACAAACCACATGATTAACACTCCAGAAATGACGAACAACAGGTATATGAGAACTATTTCCATCTCTCTCTCTCACTATCTCTCTCTCTCTCAATACCATTTTATATTTGAGTTCTAACTTCAATTTGTCAAAAAGAAGATTTTCGCTGTTGCATTGAGGTGCAGAGAAGGGCTCAACATTTAGTGCACTTAAATGCAGATAAGTACAATAGTAAGGGAATTCCAAAAAGGTCTTTAGGATGAGAGAGAGAGAGAGAGAGAGAGAGAGAGAGAGAGAGAGAGCATGAAGGTATGCAATAACTACATTTTCTTGTAAGTGAATTCATATGGCAAAGCAATTTTAATGCTATTATAAAGCTTAGGATTGTTAAATTCATTAGCGAACATCCCCTAAATAAGACTGAAAATAACATAACGAGCAATACTATTGAGATCTAATTTATTGATATAATTTACTGACTTTTGAATTGACTATAGGCCCCATCAAACATTATAATTTAGTGTTGATCCAATAATTTTTATGAAATTACATTGTTATGTCAACAAATTATGTCAATTTTTTAAGTCCAAATAACATTATTCATAACCTAGCACGAGCAAGTTGACGTCAACAAAGCAAGACGATGTGGCAATCTCTCTTACTCGCTCTATATTCACCNATTCATTAGCGAACATCCCCTAAATAAGACTGAAAATAACATAACGAGCAATACTATTGGGATCTAATTTATTGATATAATTTACTGACTTTTGAATTGACTGTAGGGTCCATCAAACATTATAATTTAGTGTTGATCCAATAATTTTTATGAAATTACATTATTATGTCAACAAATTATGTCAATTTTTTAAATCCAAATAATATTATTCATAACCTAGGACGAGCAAGTTGACGTCAACAAAGCAAGACGATGTGACAATTTCTCTTACTCACTCTATATTCACATGAATTCTCACCTTTCGTGTGGCATCAATTTTATTCAACTCAATCATGAATAACTTCATGTTTCGTTACATTCATCATATATACAACATGTGTTTAGCGAGGTCGTGCCAACTTATTTAATTAACTAATCTAGTAGATTATTCTGTTGGTCACCTAAACTTATTGAAATTAAGACCAAACTCACTAATTTTATATCAATTTCGTGTTGGGTTCTTAAATTGTGTTTAAACTTACTAGAGCTACAATGAGATCATACTTTCTAATTTAGCACAGTGGACAATCATTTCCACCCATCTGAAGGGGAAAACCTCCCCCCAAAACAACACATTTGGTCCTTGAAGGGCACAATTCTTTCTTTTTTTTTTCAAACATTATTACAAATAATGGTCAAAAAGTCCACTGCTAACATCATAATTCATGGTCCAAGCTACTTGCTGATTGCTGCTTGGGAATTGCAAAAGAGCTAAATGAGAGAGAGAGAGAGAGAGAGACCAACCAATTTTTTTTCACATAATTTGCAACCCTAAAGACAAAGAATGGCAAAAACCAACGGTATTACAGTTAAGGGTGTCTGAATCCGTTTACGTACTTTGAGTAGCTTTTTTTTTTTGTCCAGTCAAATTCAGGTCTTCTACGCCGGAATTAGGGGATTCATAAAAAATAAACTCTTATGACTTAACCCTAAGAGAATTGCTAAATTTTAAATTCAAAACGTCTAAATTTACACTTCGTACCTATCTCCGTCGAACTTACCATTAGGGTTAAAAATATGCGTTCACTTCTGAAACGTTCCTTCTCACATAACTATCAATTTGTCTGCCATGGAAAGGACAAATATCATTGTTAGGTCTATTTCCAGTTATTTGCACAAGCTTTCGTAGTAATGGTGTTGGTGGCCCCATAGTGTACCTAACAATACATATTCAATTGCAAAATCTAAGATCCTACTGGATTCGAATAATGCTAATTTAGATTCCTATCTAGAGTACAATGAACATTTCTAATTGGACCCAAAATTCAAGGTATTACTGAATGTCATATGAAATTTTGATTCTCAAATTTAAACCGGTGACAATAAAATTATATTAAATTAATAATATTGTTACGTAAAGATCCATTGTCGTAGTTGTATCTAATGAGGGTTAATTTGAGGACGAGCNTCAAATTTAAACCGGTGACAATAAAATTATATTAAATTAATAATATTGTTACGTAAAGATCCATTGTCGTAGTTGTATCTAATGAGGGTTAATTTTAAAATTGTCATTTTAATGTTCACCTTTGGAATAGTCATGAGAGTATAGAAGAACACATGCTTCATCTCCAACAAGCTCTTTGTGAAAATTTCAGATAAAATTATTGTAGATGGAGCTAAGTTTTTGAGAAAAAAAAAGAGCAAGCCCAAGAAAGGAAAAGCAAAATTGTAGAGCAAACATTACTANTTCACCTTTGGAATAGTCATGAGAGTATAGAAGAACACATGCTTCATCTCCAACAAGCTCTTTGTGAAAATTTCAGATAAAATTATTGTAGATGGAGCAAAGTTTTTGAGAAAAAAAAGAGCAAGCCCAAGAAAGGAAAAGCAAAATTGTAGAGCAAACATTACTTAGGAAAAGCCTTGTAACAAGTTCCACAATTAATTGTTTTAATTTGGGGACTTAAGTTAATGTAGTCATTAGATCAAATGAGGACTTCATTTAACATTGAAAGTTTGAAACTCACAGCTAATTTAATTTTTTTTTATTCAACGGTTAGAAGTGTTCGGGTATGTTTACGTATACCTCTGCAAATCATTTTCTCAGTCCGATCAAAGGCAGGACATTCACTTCAGGATTAGGGTATTCATGAGAGATAACTCTCCCATGACCAGACCTCAAGAGATTGTTAAAATTCGAATTCAGAACGTTTGAATTTACAATTCGTCCTTGTTAACACTTAAGCCACCCTTTGGGGTCACAAATAATTTAATTTAATGACTGCATAAAATTAAATACTTAATCAATTAGGTACATGATTAGATCTTCAAATNATGTAGTCATTAGATCAAATGAGGACTTCATTTAACATTGAAAGTTTGAAACTCACAACTAATTTAATTTTTTTTTTATTCAACGGTTAGAAGTGTTCGGGTATGTTTACGTACACCTCTGTAAATCATTTTCTCAGTCCGATCAAAGGCAGGACATTCACTTCAGGATTAGGGTATTCATGAGAGATAACTCTCTCATGACCAGACCTCGAGAGATTGTTAAAATTCGAATTCAGAACGTTTGAATTTACAATTCGTCCTTATTAACACTTAAGCCACCCTTTGGGGTCACAAATAATTTAATTTAATGGCTGTATAAAATTAAATACTTAATCAATTAGGTACATGATTAGATCTTCAAAGTAAGCCTTTATAGCATTGTTGGTTGTTTCCTATTAACTCAGTAAAATTTATTGACAATCCAATGATCATATTCATTAAGTCTTTAAATTATATTATAATAACATTGCTCGATTGATTTGATAGTAAAATATATTTTTTAATAATAAGATTAACTACTAATCTAATGACTATAATTATTATATACCTAAATTATCATTCAACAACATTGTAAAAAAAAAAAAAAATGTGATCAACACTTTTCTTTCTTGTGTGGCAAAGATTCGCCCTTTGGTTGATGAGCTGGTACAGCTATCACTCACCAAAATGGTTAACATGNAATTATATTATAATAACATTGCTCGATTGATTTGATAGTAAAATATATTTTTTAATACTAAGATTAATTACTAATCTAATGACTATAATTATTATATACCTAAATTATCATTCAACAACATTGTAAAAAAAAAAATAAATGTGATCAACACTTTTCTTTCTTGTGTGGCAAAGATTCGCCCTTTGGTTGATGAGCTGGTACAGCTACCACTCACCAAAATGGTTAACATCGCAAACTCAAACAAAAGTTGTCTTTACTCTTCTTCAACACCTTCCTTATGAATTAAGATTTCACTAATGCTATTGAGACATAATTTAAGGATATAATGAGTTGTCACCAATAAAATGATAGTAAAATGTATTTAATGATGAGTCTTATTGTAGCATTAAATGAATTCATTATCATATCATTGGTGATTACTCATTATCTCTNTCTTCTTCAACACCTTCCTTATGAATTAAGATTTCACTAATGCTATTGAGACATAATTTAAGGACATAATGAGTTGTCACCAATAAAATGATAGTAAAATGTATTTAATGATGAGTCCTATTGTAGCATTAAATGAATTCATTATCATATCATTGATGATTACTCATTATCTCCNAATAAAATGATAGTAAAATGTATTTAATGATGAGTCTTATTGTAGCATTAAATGAATTCATTATCATATCATTGGTGATTACTCATTATCTCTCTAAATTATGTTCGTAAATTATGTCCTAATAACATTGCTCGAAAGATTTATCCTCAATAATATTCTAATTCTAACGTAGATGATTTACCTTTAATCGGATTGAAGAGGGAATTAATGGAGATACGCATAAACTAACTCAAAGACTCGCTGACCGTAAAAAAAAAACAGCTTCCTCGTACCTGTCGCAGCCCCATTTTTGAAATGGTGAAGAACATGATCAAAGGGAAAACAACTGGATACAAGTTTAATGGAAAGCAATTAACATAAATCACTTGTGTAAGTGTCCTCAATCCACTAATGATATACATTTTGACATTAAAAATTCTGTGTAAAAGCAATTCAAGAATCACCAAAACTCAGATATATATCCTGTACATAGAAGTACACGGCCACCCCATCTATCTACAAAGAAAAGGAAGCAACAAAGAGAATTTGTTGTTAAAGAAACAAGGATATATATATATATATATATATATACACATATATAATATGTATGTATATGTTGATCATCAAACACCTCCATAACCACCGTCACAAGTGCAACTACAGGTGCCGCCGCTGACGTC